GCTGAGAATCGCTTGTAAAGCTTCCGCGAACTTCAGATCCAAACTTGCGAAATCACCGCTGTCCTGTAGATCATCCAGTGTCACACCGGGCTGTTCTGCAACACAGAAGAACTTGTATGCAGCATCTGGACGCCCAGAGGCACTGCAGAAGGCCTTGCGGACTGCGTGCTGCCACTCAAGAACATGTCCGATTCTGGGAAGACCTGGAACACGCACACGCTCGCTCTCCTTCACCGGTGTGATGGTAGCAACAGGGCTCCCTCCGATGGTGTATTGAGACTGCATGACAGTAGCACCAAGGACGTTGGGCACTGGTGAGTGCGTGCGAAAGCTTGCAGCGTCGAAGTTTGCCTCCTGTGCAGGTGCTGCGGAAGCGGCCGGGGCCGCGGTCCTGCTGGCAGCTGACGGTGACACACGTCGGGCCTGTGGCTGGTAGCCAGCGGCTGGGGTTTCCCCCTGCACACCCCCCGCGTTCGAGGCAGGGGCGCCGGGAGAAGTGCGTCTGGAGGTCGGGGCTTGCGGTGGTACAGGTGTGTGCTGTGTAGCGTCAGCTACGTGGGCCTTGAATTGGTCTTCGAGAATGATGTTGTCACGTTGCAACTGTTCGATGCAGCCTGAGAAACCATCAACATTCCTCTGGACCTCGCGGGTCTTGTCTGTAAGCACGGAATACTGTCGTTGAGTAGACTGGGAAAGGTCTGTAAGAAGAGAACGTAGCTGATCCATGTCGGCCTTTACGCGCGACAGCTCCTGCTGCGTATCCGCCAGGCGGGTCTGCACTTCAGATACCCGTGCCTTTCCAGCATCCCTCTCAGAGCGAAGCTCGTGTAACTGCCTTTGCACGTGGTCCGCCTCCGCACGCACGGTCCGTTGTACGGCTGCCAGTACGGCGGGGTCGTCAACCGAAGAAGGGGGCACCAGCTGGCCAGTCTGGGCCCTTACAACGCGCAGCTCAGTCACGGCCTCTTCGAGAGTCAGGACTCTGGCGGTGAGCTTTGGGATCGAATCAACTTGGGAATCAGAGAAACGCTGGTTGACAGCATTTTCGGCTTGACAGAGTTTGCCGTAGAGATCTTGTTGGATTTGTTGGGTCTCAGCACGAAGATCAGATGTAGCGGACATCGTGGCGTCACGAAGCTCAATAATCTGGCCCTGGAGAGCTGAGGGAGCCGCGCCGGCGCTGGCGGCGGCAACTGCTTGGAGTTCATCGTGGAGAAATTTGGCGCGAGTATCATTGTGGTCACGCATATGGATAAAACGTGCTTCCAAATGAGAGAACTCGGAGTGCACAGCGGCAAGCTCGGAGTGGTCTTGGCCACGTTGAGCGGCAACAGCATCGACCTTCGAAACGAGTTGACACATGACGTGACGATCCTCGTACAACCTAGCGTCGACTTCCTGCAAACCTTTAGCGAGATCCGATCGCAAGATCGCAGTCTCAGTGGCGGTTGCCCGGTGCACGAGAGCAGTCTGATGCTCCACATACGTCTGTACCTGGTCTCTTAGCTCAGCCATATCTGTTAGGGGGACGGCGGCAGGCGCAGCCACAGGTGAGCTGACAGCGCGTCTTCGTGCCCTCTGGGAGGGACTGCGGCTGTGCAAATCCTGGGCTGCAATCTGGAACTGTTCGGGGCCACGTCTGTCACGAGGCGAAGCTGCGCGAGAACGAGAAACAGTGACTTGACGACCGGCGAAGGCTGCGCCGTCGCGGGTCTGAGCACGAAACTCGAGGGCGCGGACGTGCTCTCGGACTGGCGTCACGGCACGGGTGACTGGGTTCCGTCCCCCGCCCCAGCGGCGAGATCCTCCAGAGCCTCTCTGCACGGGACTTCCCTGTGGAGGCGAAAGAGCCTCCGAGTGGGCCCCCCCAGCAGGGGCCCGAAAAGTCGGGGTCAGATTTTGAGGAGGTTGAGGAGTCTGGAGCTGAGGAACTCCAGGAGCCACAGGGTGTCTCGCTCTGACAGCATTTCTGGGCGGATCATTCCGTGGCACGAGGACCTCAGCGCTCTGAAAGAGATGCTGCGCAGCACCCGAGCTGCGGTCTCCCGCTGCATCTGACACGACGGGCGACGCGACGGGATGAACGACTGACGACGAGGAAGGGGCCTGGAACTGAGGAGTACCAGGAGCGTGTCCTTGTCCAGCGTCAAGACCCTCAATACCTGGAGAAATGGCCACACGATCAGCTCGCGGGATGCCATGCACGTCCATCAAAACTTCAATCTCCTGCTCCAAGTTGCGCGCCACGGGGTCCGCCACGCCGTCGCGAAGAGGCGCGGGGCCGAGAGGCGCACCGCCCTCCATCGCGACTGAGTGGGGGGCTCAGGAAGCGCGGAAGTTGGAGCGATTGCGTTTTGAACAGAGAAGGCTGATAACCTGTGTGAGGGGGAGGGGGACCGAAGGACCGAACCCACCCCCAAAGTGTCCGTAGGTAGACGTGATGAGGATGATGGTAGTTGTCCTCTTCACCCTCTGAGTACGAGTACCTGCATCCGAGCCGAAAGGGGCGATGGATATGAGCAAGATAGGAGGAAAGTAGGGGGATTCACACACAGGCGTGCCTCGGGTGCTCGTCAGCGCTATCTCCGAGCTATCTTTGAAGGACGCCACAGTCGGCGCCTTCGCTGTAGCCTTTGCGGCCTCTGCGGCCGCCGCCCACGCCAGGCGTGCCTCGGGCGCTCGTGAGCGCTATCTCCGAGCTATCTTTGAAGGGCGCCACAGTCGGCGCCTTCGGTGTAGCCTTTGCGCCCGCTGCGGCCGCAACCCACGCCTGGCGTGCCTCGGGCGCTCGTGAGCGCTATCTCCGAGCTATCTTTGAAGGGCGCCACAGTCGGCGCCTTCGCTGTTGCCTTTGCGCCCGCTGCGGCCGCCGCCCACGCCAGGCGTGCCTCGGGCGCTCGTGAGCGCTATCTCCGAGCTATCTTTGAAGGACGCCACAGTCGGCGCCTTCGCTGTAGCCTTTGCGCCGCTGCGGCCGCGGCCCGCGCCAGGCGTGCCTCGGGCGCTCGTGAGCGCTATCTCCGAGCTATCTTTGAAGGACGCCACAGTCGGCGCCTTCGCTGTAGCCTTTGCGCTCGCTGCGGCCGCCGCCCACGCCAGGCGTGCCTCGGGCGCTCGTGAGCACTATCTCCGAGCTATCTTTGAAGGACGCCACAGTCGTCGCCTTCGCTGTAGCCTTTGCGGCCGCTGCGGCCGCCGCCCACGCCAGGCGTGCCGCGGGCCCTCGTGAGCGCTATCTCCGAGCTATCTTTGAAGGACGCCACAGGTCGGCGCCTTCGCTGTAGCCTTTGCGGCCGCTGCGGCCGCCGCCCACGCCAGGCGTGCCTCGGGCGCTCGTTAGCGCTATCTCCGAGCTATCTTTGAAGGACGCCACAGTCGGCGCCTTCGCTGTAGCCTTTGCGCCCGCTGCGGCTGCAACCCACGCCAGGCGTGCCTCGGGCGCTCGTGAGCGCTATCTCCGAGCTATCTTTGAAGGACGCCACAGTCGGCGCCTTCGCTGTAGCCTTTGCGCCCGCTGCGGCCGCCGCCCACGCCAGGCGTGCCTCGGGCGCTCGTGAGCGCTATCTCCGAGCTATCTTTGAAGGACGCCACAGTCGGCGCCTTCGCTGTAGCCTTTGCGCCCGCTGCGGCCGCCGCCCACGCCAGGCGTGCCTCGGGCGCTCGTGAGCGCTATCTCCGAGCTATCTTTGAAGGACGCCACAGTCGGCGCCTTCGCTGTAGCCTTTGCGCCCGCTGCGGCCGCCGCCCACGCCAGGCGTGCCTCGGGCGCTCGTGAGCGCTATCTCCGAGCTATCTTTGAAGGACGCCACAGTCGGCGCCTTCGCTGTAGCCTTTGCGCCCGCTGCGGCCGCCGCCCACGCCAGGCGTGCCGCGGGCGCTCGTGGGCGTCCTTCAAAGATAGCTCGGAGATAGCGGGAACCCATGGGATTGTTGCGCCAGCGCCTTCGCAGTGCTGCTTTCCAATGCCGAAGGCAAATGCCGGACCCCTGTGGAACTGCTGCGCCAGCGGCAGCCCAACGGTGAAGCCCCCTGCCGAAGGCGCAACAGCTGCCTCATCGACGAGGCGAGCTGACGCGCCAGCGCCATGCACCCTGCGCGCGTGCCCGCATGGGCGCGCATTGCCACGGCCGCGACCGCACGCGCGCTTCCCAGCATTCGCACCCCAGTGTCACAACCCAGTGCCGAAGGCAAGGCGGCACGCGGCAGGGGCAGCCCTGCGCGCGTGCTCACGTGGATGCGCAATGCCACGGCCGCGTCGGCGATCGCTGCGCGCGCCAACACGAAAGCCCCCCTTGATAGGGGGGGTGGGGGGAGAAACCCTAACCCCTAAAGGGCTTTACTGTGGGTGGTCTGGGGCGGGAGTGCAAGTTCATAGCGCGCGCGGCTTGGGCAGCGATCCCCCCAAACAACCTTGATGTGGGGGGGATCGCAGCCAGCGCGCGCATGCGCCCATGCAGGCGGTCCGTCGTCGTCGCCGTGTCCGAAGGCATGGCGGGGGAGCGCGAGGGGGCGGGTCTGGCGCCCCCATCGCACATCAGCGGTGATAGCGTGAGCATTACCATGTGGCTATCTGTTGCATGTATTTCCGTCGCAGTAAGCCGTCATTGAAGCTTTGCCTGGCTCCTGGGATTTCAAAGAGTAATTGCCGCAAAGAGGCAGGCAGGTCGGGAAGCGTGCACGCGTACCGAGAATTACCGTTATCGAAGGCATGCAGGGTTATCTCCGTTGTTCGAACGTATGTGAGCGAATGCAGGAGAGCGCGGATGCAATTTGCGAGCTTTGGGTGCGAGATGCATTGGCGATGCGTCCCAGCATGTCGCGGTGGAGGCATGTGGTGCCTTGGGAACTGCCTTTGTTCACCGCAACATCAGTCGCGATGTCGGTGGTTCCGTTGCCGCTTTGGCTCAAGCCTGATTTCGCCACCGCTCGGCACGCGCACCTGGCAGCCATCGTTGGCAGGCATCAGCCTTCGCACCCACCTTCAGCGCACTCTCGCGGCGATGGGCCCTCGGCGCTGCTCTGGCTTTGCGACCGACGACGGGATCGTCATCGAGTGCTGCTTCAATCCGTGGGAGAAGGGCAAGCGCGCGCAGGGCAAGTTCGAGGGGAAGTGTCAGCGGTGCTCTCCGATTCGCACGGCAACCATCTGCGCGACGCCGCAGCAATCCAAGCTGACCGCGCACAGCCTGGCGAACCTGCACAAGCTTGACATCGGCATTTACGCCATGGCCGTGGAGCGGGTGAAGGTGCACGAGAGCGGTGATCAGCTCATTGCCCGCGCTGTCGGCATAATCTCGGAGCGCTCGCAGGTGGGCGTGCCGCCGCCGCCGCCAATCGAGGGTGACCAGGGCAACGCGGTCTCGCAGCCCGCCGAGGAGGAGATCCCTGCTGCCATGGAGCCCGACGAGGAAGCAGCCGCAGCTGGGCCAGCAGCGGCAGCCGAGCCGCCGCCAGTACCTGCGGAAGGCGAGGGCGCGGCCGCTGGGCGCAGACGCCAGCGCCTCTGCGAGGGATACAGCCTGGCGCGCGCCATGGGCCGCAGGCTCCGCAGCAAGGAGGACGAGGGCGTCTGCTTGTTCTCCAGGGCGCACCCTGGGCAGCGTGCCATGGCGCTCGACGGGAAGTGCCTCTGGTGCACGCCCACCCGCATGAAGGAGGCGGCGCGCAATCCCGCCAAGAAGAGGGAGGCCATGACCGACCTGAAGAAGTTCGAAGCTCGCAACCCTGCGCTGAAGCAGAAGGCGCTGGGGCGGCTGCGCAGGCACCTGACTGCGCAGGAGTACAAGTTTATTGTTACGCCGAAACATTGCTGCCGCGGCGCTGGGGAAGCCATGTGCCCCTTCAGCACGGCAGACCCAGGGCAGCCCGCGTACGTGAAGAAGGCCGACAAGCACTTGTGCAGCTGGTGCGATCCGAAGAGGCTCCGTGGCACGCAGACAGAGAAGCGCAGGGGCGTGCTGAAGCAGCTAGAGGCATTCCACGAGAAGGACGAAGCCGTATTTGCCAAGGCAGAGGCTATCCTGAAGGAGGTCTTCGGGGACAAATACCTAGCACAGCTAAAGAAGAAGACTGTCCGGCAGAACCAGCAGGCGGCAAAAGCTCGAAGGCGCACTGGCAAGACGGACTGGCCGACGAAGCTGGCGAAGCGGCGGCTGGTGATGGAGAGCCCGACGGTCGACGAGGAAGCTCGCAGGAAGTTCCGCAAGCTAACCCTGGCGGACTTGAAGAAGGTCGAGAACTCGTTCTACAAGGACAAAGCCGAGCGAAAGATGCGCGGTCGCGCCGACGAGGTCCCGAAGAGCAAAGACTTGGAGCCGCCGATCGGCGAAGCAGGCTTCAGTGACCTGTCGAAGGGGCTGCGGTCCTGGGCCGCCAAAGGCTCGTGGGGCATCTGCAAGGAGTGCCATGTCCTGCAGCCGCGGCCCATGCACGATATCGATATGTTTCTGGACGCCAGCGAGGAGATCTCGAAGAGCGCCTGTCGCCGCTGCAACGCTTCTCGCGAGATGTACGTCCCGCTGCCTGAGGACGTACCAGGGCCACTCCGCGGCCTGTCAGAGGAGATCGTCGAAGCCCTCCGGCCCATCGAGATCGACGTCGGCCCCGAGACGCGCTCCACCGACACTTTCGGCCGCCCGAACGGCTATCGCAAGAAGGTGAAGATGATCACGTTTTATTTCTCGAAGTGGCACGTCAAGGACAAGATCAAGGAGCTGGACGATGACGCGTGGCGGACGGCGAAGAAGGCCTACAAGTACCTGCTGTCTTGCGAAGAGTCCTCGTACAAGCGGTTCCACGACATGCACGAGAAGTTCCTCCGCAAGCAGGGCGAGGATGCTGCAGACAGGAAGCGCAAGCGCCCATATCATTTCCTGCAGGAGGTCGGGCTGGAGTGCGCTCTCTGGCCAAACCTGTACTGGTGCACCGAGATGACGGAGACGCACGAGCAGTGGTCCGACGCGAGGCGCGAGGAGCGGCGCGACGCCCAGGAGGCCAAGAAGAAGAAGAAGGCAAAGTACGGCTATGATTCGGACGCCGAGGAGGACGAGGGCGGCGACGGCGGCGGCCAGCGCACCAGCGTAAAGCGGTCTTTCATGACCAAATGCCTATCGCCACTCCTTGGGTACGGATCTAGCTTCGAGCTGCTCCAGTTCGTGTGCGACCTGAACCTCTGGGCGACGCTCGGTGCGAAAAAGAACCTGGGGCTCGACAACGTGCCGATGCGGATGCTCATGAAGGGCCATACTTTCTCACCGCTCTACTGGAAGAAGGTGCACAACGCCCTCGTCGACCTCGTGCGGCAGGTGGGCTTCGCAAAGCTGTTCTTCACCATTGCACCATGGGAACCGTGCTTCAAGTACCACGACTGGCTGCGCGATGAGATGGAGAAGACACTGCGGACCCGCATGTACCTCCCCGTGGGGGAGACACTGCACATGTCGCATGTGCTCATGCAGATCGTCCGAGGCATGCTGGCGGGCAATAACTACCAGATGATGGACCGCAGCGACCGCAGCTGGACAAAGCACGTGTTCGCCGCGAAGGACGCCGACGGCAGACAGGTTCGCGTCCAGAGTTTCACGCGGCTGGAGTTCCAGGACGGCAGCCGCAAGGAGGGTACGAAGCGCTACGACGGCTCTGGCCGACCGCACCTGCACGTTCTCTTCTTCGCGGACGACGACGCCATGGCGAACATGAAATTGGAGCATCACCTCTTTGCGACCAAGCCCGACGGCTTCTCGGACGACCTGAAGGCTATGTGGACGGATCGCAGCTCAACAAGCACGGCGACGCAGAGAGCAAGTGGCCGATCTACCACGGCCCGTCGGGGGTGCACGGCGACGATGGTTTTCTCCAGCTGAAGCACACCGAGGAGGACCACGACGCGGGCCTCCGAGCGTACTGCGCTGACGTCATGGACGGGATCCCTTGCCATCAGGATTGGCAGACCAGCGACGGGGAGGCCATGCTCCTGCAATACGTTTCCAAGTATGTGGCGAAGTTCTCGGATAGCAGCTACGACGAGTGGATGAGCGACAAGGCCTCCGCGGACAGCGTGGCCAGGCGCGTCTGCTTCGAGTACCACCCCTACGAGCCAGAGATGATCCTGCAGCTGTGTGGAGCGCACTTCAGACAATACGACATCTCTACGGTCAGCGGCGGCTTCCGCACCGTGACGGCGCCTTACTCGGGCATGGCGGATGTGCCCGACTGGGTCCAGAAATATGCTGACTGCGCGTGGCGCCACGAGGGCATGACGCTCTTGGAGTGGCTTCGAAAGACTACTGACGACGGCGGCATCGCCGGATGGCTGAAGCGCAAGCACAAGCAGGAGCTGGTGCTGGTCCTGTACAGGCGGTACCGCGCGACCGTGCCCGACGGCGAGGAGCCCCAGGCGCTCGACGCTCACTGGCGCTTCCTGCGCGCTGAGTACAAAGGCATGGCCGATGCTGATGGCGGAGGTAGCGGGAACAGTGACAAAGTCTCCGACGCCGAAGACGAGGAGCAGCCGAAGACCTTCGAGGAGTTCCTCGCGAAGAAGCACAGCGACGAAAAGAGCGAGGGCGAGGACGACTTTCCGAACCACAAGGAGTTCGCGCGAGCCTACCGCATGCAGGGCGAGAAGGTGGTCAGCGTCGACACGGTATACGAGCTCAACGACCGCTACTACGGCCAGTGGGCTGCAATGAACGTACCGTTCCGATCGCTCGACGAGCTCGAGTTCGAGGATATGAACCGCCTGGTTCCGCAGAAATACAAGTATCTCGCGGCGGCGCTGCGACTGTGCTCCGACCAGGGCCGCGTCGCTGAAGAGCACCATGACTTGTTCACCGATGACAGGCGGCTCGTGGACTACATGAGCGCTTCCGCGAAGTCCAGCAAGTTCACCGAGGCTGTGCATCACATGATCGTGGGGCAGCGGAAGCTGATCAACATGTACCTGACGGGCATCATCGACAAGGCCGACGAGAAGGCCGCGGCCGACGCCGAGGCCGCGGTCATCGCCAACCGCAGGCCAGCGCGCGGCGAGGGCCAGGAGGAGGTCGACTTCAACCCGAAGCAGCTGCAGCTGGAGGAGGCGATCAACGAGCGCGTGGACCGTGCCGCGCGGGCGGAGCTGTCGGAGGACTGGGAGGAGGCGGGCGAGGCGCGCGAGGAAGCGCACAAGAAGAACACGCCCGTCATCTGCCTTGGGAAGCCTGGGACGGGGAAGACCACCGTGGTAAAGTCTTCCATTCGCCGCGCCCAGGAGCAAGGCGCGCGCGTGCTCTTCGCCCTCCCGACGGCGCAGCTGTCCAGCCGCATGAGAGCCGCGCTGCAAGACCTCGAGGGCCTAACGGTGGACACGTGCCGCGCCGCATTCAAGCTGCACGACCAATCACAGAGAGTCTTCACAGGATGACGGGCTTCGACTTGGGTGGTTGACGAGGTATCGCTGCTGAGTTGCGAAAGCTTCGAGCGCATCCTGAAGCTCTGGAGCGTCGCAGGGAAAGTCCCCGCGCTGGTCTTCCTCGGAGAAAAGCACCAGCTCCCTGGGGTGGAGCCGACATGTCCTTGGGAGAGTGCCGCATGAAAGCGGCCGCGCTGCTTCCACGTGAAGCTAACCGAGACCTGGCGGTGCAAGGAGGAACGATTCCAGGAGATCCTGGACGAGCTTCGGACAGACAAGCCCTCCAAGGAGACATTCCGCAAGATCGTGCGCGACCACAAGGCGTGGAAGAGCAGAGGCGACCCCAAGCCCGCCGAAATGAAGAACCTCTTCGAGAAGCACCCAGACACGCGGATCGTCACCTGCACGCGCAGGGGCGCTGCGGCCGTGAACGAGGCGGCAGTCGCTGCGCTGTACGGCCGCAAGACCCCGCTGGCCACGCTGGACGGCGACGTGGAACTCAACCCCGAGAACTACGTTGGCAAGCTTCGCACTGATCGCCGTCTGGTCCCAAGCAGAGTACCGATTTACAAGGGAATGCAATTGTACCTGACGAAGAACAAGAACAAGGAGGCCGACGAGGTGAATGGAAAGCTCTGCGTGGTGGAGAACTACCACGCCGAGAAGGACATGCGTGATGACGAAGACGGGCCACCGTCTGGCGATCACTCGCTGGACCGACCGCGAGACTGGCAATGCGGTCTACTTTCCGATTCGTCTCGGCTACGCCAGCACCATCGACAAGGTGCAGGGCGACGAGTTCTCCCACATCACTACCTGGACGGGTGGCCTAGACCAGCAGCGGGATATACAGCGCTCAGTCGCGTTGCAACGTTGGATGATTACTTGATCGGCGGCTTCGTGGAGCGCGAGAACTTCATACCCGCGTTCTGAGATTGCCTCCGGTGTCCGCGCGTTGGCTGGCGCGCAACCGCTCGCCTCTCGCAGTATCCACGCGGTGCGCCTGCCCCGCTGTCGCGTGCACAGGCACGAACGTGCGCATTCCTGCTGGGAAAATGATGGTCTGTCAGTGTCACGTCGGGAAAGGGGAGAACAGAAGGCAGCATACTTAGATATTGTCTGACGTTCTCGACACCCCTGGAGTTTCGAAATGGCCGAGAAGGGGGGCGCGAGGGGGCGGGTCTGGCGCCCCCTCGTACATGGCCACGGAAGGCGTCGTGTGATGCCCTTCGCGGCGGACTTCGCAGTGCGAGACGGCGCGTGCCCCTCGTGCACCCCCCCGTCAAACCCCGTCGGACTTGAAAAACGGGCCCCTGGAACTCCTCGGGGCTTGCTCTACGAGGTCTTTGGCGAATCACTAGGGTCCGCGGGGCCGTTCGGCGCAAATCTGTCTTGTAAGCGTCCAAAACCCGGATAGCGAGGCAAGGCGCGGAGCGCAGAGCGCTCCAAAGCGCCGCACGGCGACCTCTGCCAGGCCGCCTGGAACGATGCGTGGGGCGCTGGAAACCTCGCAGGAGACGCCTGCGAGGGCGTCTTTTACGACGCGCGGGGCTCTGTGAAACCTACCACGACACCTCTGCCTAGGAGCCTGCGAGCACTGGCGAAGCTCTGCCGAAGCTCTGCCGAAGCGCTTCGCGCACCCTTGAGCCACGCGTATTGGGAAACGCTAGGAAGCCACGCTCCCGGACCCGCTGCAACCTCCGGCAACTCGCTGCGAGGATCGTGGACCGGCAGAAGTGGGCGTGTCCCCCTCACCACCCACCTCCGGCTTCTTCTCTGAAACCCTTAGCTCTCCAAGGAGCTATCCGGGAAAAACCCGGATAGCGAGGCAAGGCGCGGAGCGCAGAGCGCTCCAAAGCGCCGCACGGCGACCTCTGCCAGGCCGCCTGGAACGATGCGTGGGGCGCTGGAAACCTCGCAGGAGACGCCTGCGAGGGCGTCTTTTACGACGCGCGGGGCTCTGTGAAACCTACCACGACACCTCTGCCTAGGAGCCTGCGAGCACTGGCGAAGCTCTGCCGAAGCTCTGCCGAAGCGCTTCGCGCACCCTTGAGCCACGCGTATTGGGAAACGCTAGGAAGCCACGCTCCCGGACCCGCTGCAACCTCCGGCAACTCGCTGCGAGGATCGTGGACCGGCAGAAGTGGGCGTGTTCCCCTCACCACCCACCTCCGGCTTCTTCTCTGAAACCCTTAGCTCTCCAAGGAGCTATCCGGGAATCTGCGTCGCTTTTTTTGTCGCGTCGCGGTTTTCTGCTAGATGCACCAGCAAGACACCAAAGCATAGCCGAAGAAGCCGCCGCAGGCATAGCGCCGGAAAGCGCCGCCAGGGAGCGCTGCCGAATGCTTGCGAATGCATGAAAACGCTTGGGAGCGCCATGGGACCGCTTGGACTTCTTAAACGCGCTGGCGAACGCCGGGGAGCGCTTGGGACCACGTGAGGGAGCTTAGGGGCGCATGGGAACGCTTGGGAGCGTGCTGGGAGCGTGCCAGGAGCGCCTGGAAGCGCGCTGGTGCGCTTGGAAGTGCTGCACGCCCCGGAGCGCTCGGAGGCGCCAGGAAGCGCTTGGGAGCGCGCAGGGAGCGCCTGGGCAGGCTGGGAGCGCCTGGCAGCGTGCAGGGAGCGCTTGGGAGTACCTGGGAGCGCTAGGGGGCGCCAGGAAGCGCCAGGGAGCGTGCCGGGAGCGCCTGGGAGCGCCTGGGAGCGCCATGCGCCTGGGAGCGCTTGGGAGCGTGCCGAAAGCGCCGGGAAGCGCCTGGGAGCTCCTGGGAGCGCCTGGAACCGCCTGGGACCGTCTGGGAACGCCTGGGAGCTCCGGCGAGCGCCTGGGAGCGCTTGAGGGCGCTTGGGAACGCTTGGGGGCGCTTCTGGGAGCGCATGGGAGCGCCTGGGAGCGCTTGGGAGCGCCTGGGACGTGCGCCAGCCGAAAGGGCGCCGCATGCTGTATTTTCCCGGAGAGCTCGCTGAGAGCTAAAGGGCTTAAGATTAGAAGCCGGACGGTGGTGGTGCCCGCCAGCAGCCCATCTCCGCCGCTCCAGAATCCCTGCAGCAGGTCGTTCGAGCCGGCGACTGGTCCGGGAGAGCTTCCGGCAAGCTTCCACGCGTGCCCGAAAGCGTGCAGGCACGCGTGGAAGCGTTTGCGGCAGCGCTTCGGAAGCGCTACGAGGGGGGCCCCCAGAGCCCCAGAAGAGCTGAACGCGAGCTTCCAGGGGCTTGCGAGGAAGGTTCCCGGAGAGCTCGCTGAGAGCTAAAGGGTTTAAGATTAGAAGCCGGACGGTGGTGGTGCCCGCCAGGAGCTCCTCCAAGGCGGTCCACAGGTCTCGCAGCGCCCCCGGCGACCGGGCAACTGGTCCGGGAGAGCTTCCGGCAAGCTTCCACGCATGCCTGCACGCGTGCAGGCACGCCTGGAAGCGTTTCTGGCAGCGCTTCGGCAGCGCTTCAGGGGAGCTTCCCAGAGCTCTCGAGGAAAGATAACCCGTCCCTAAAGGGTATCTTCGCTCTCCGGGTTTTGGACGCTACCAAGTTCATATGGTTTGCGGCCCCAAGGACGGCCGAAAGGGCGCTGCACGCTGTATTTTCATAGGTTTGGAGCCCCAGGGGATGGGACCAATCGCAGGGGAGCCGCTGGCTGGGTTTTGGGTTAAGGGTTTTATTCATCTCTCGGAGCACTCACAAGGCATCCCCGCGGGGGAGCCCATCCTCCTCAGCACTACGCGCTTCGTCGGTGCGGCGTGCGCGCATGGGCGGACTCGCTGATCGCTCGGCCAGGCGCCACGGGCTTCTGACGATGCACCGCCCGTGGCTTGCAGTTTAGGGTTTAGGGTGGGTTTAGGGTTTAGGGTTTGGGTTTAGAGTTTAGGGTTTAGGGTTTAGGCTTTCTGCGCAGAACCATCCTATCCCCCCCTCCTCAGGAGGTAGGGGGGGATGGATGGATGCGGTCTGTCCCACCCCATCCACCCAGAGTCATTGCTTTTAGGGTTTAGGGATCTACCCCCCACGCTCTCCCCTATCAAGGGGGGAAGGAGTGCTGGCGTCAGCCTCAGCGAGTGATGTGCGTCCCAGAAACACGCGTGAACCGTCACAAGCGGGTCGGGCCGGGTCGAGCGCACTGGAGGGTTCGCCCGACCTCAACGTGCTTTGCATAGGATTGTGGTGGTTTACATAGCGGGACGTAAAGATCCTCATAGCAGGCTCGATCAAGGGGTGCGCCTGGGAGCACGCATGATCAGTTTATATTTTTTTTTTGCATAGGATTGTGATGGTTTACATAGCGGGACGTAAAGATCCGCATAGCAGGCTCGATCCAGGGGCGCGCCTGGGAACACGCATGACCAGTTTATGGTATGTTTTGCATAGGATTGTGGAGGGGCCGTGAAGATCCGCATAGCAGGCTCGATCCAGGGGCGCGCCTGGGAACATGCATGATCAATTTATATTATGCTTTACAGAAGATTATTTACATAGCGAGACGTAAAGATCCGCATAGCAGGCTCGATCCAGGGGCGCGCCTGGGAACACGCGTGATCAGTTTATAGCATGTTTTGCATAGGATTGTGGAGGGGGCCGTGGAGATCAGCATAGCAGGCTCGATCCAGGAGCGCGTCTGGGAACACACATGATCAGTTTATACTACTGGGCGCCGGCGATAAACCGTCAACCTTTGTTACCGCTGGGGGACTCGTAGAGCTTCCTGACAACATATAATGTCGGAAAAAATTGCAGATAACGAATAGTTTTTCAGCCCAACTCGAGTATCACACCGAGTTCAGACCTCTTGATGCGACAGACGAATGCGTCTGATGTCTCCGAATCGAATCCTCTGATTACCCGCCCTGCAGCCTCCCTACAGCCAGAGTTAAGTGCAGAACGCCGACAGTAGCTCTCAAGATGACTGAAAGAATACGAACGGTTTCGTGATTCTGGATCGCGCAGCAGACCGAGTTCAGAGCTCTGGATTCGACAGACAAACGCGACTGATGATTCTGAATCGGTTTATGTAACTAGCAGCCCTGTAGCTGTCCTATAGATCGAGTTTTGTAAAGAGCGCCTATCAAGATGATTCGAAAAAAATACGAATAGGTTTGCGGACCTGGCTCGGCTAGCAGACCGAGTTCAGACCTCTGGTTGGAACAGCCGAACGCGCCTGATCATTCTGAGTCATCAGGCGTGCTTACCAGCTCTGTAGCTGTCGAGTTAAGATCAGAATTCCGACAGTGCGAATCAAGATGACTTGAATAATACGAATAGGTTTGCGGACCTAGCTCGGCTAGCAAACCGAGTTCAGAGCTCTGGATTCAACAGACAACCGCACATAATCATTCTAGATCGATGAGCTGTATTTAGAGGCTCTGTAGCTGTCCTAGAGCTCGAGCTAAGTAGAAAATACCGACAACGCGTATCAAGATGACTCGAAACGGCCGATCCCGCCAGTGTGCTTTTTGGCAGTAAAAGATACCTTATCGAGCTGAGATCAAGATGACGAGCGAGAATAAGATCGAATATCACGGGAAAAAATACTGGAGCACAAACGAATTGTTGAATTTCGAGAACAAAATTTTCAATCGACCAAAAGTTGTGAAAAGTTCAATTCTTTTTTTTCGAGCCAACTAGCTCTCCAGCGCGTCGGAATTACTCTTATTCCAGCAACTAGCTTGAGAAGCTCTTGTTTTGCATAGGATTGTTGACTGGGCGCCGGCGATAAACCGTCAACCTTTGTTACCGCCGGGGGACTCGTAGAGCTTCCTGACAACATATAATGTCGAAAAAAATTGCAGATAACGAATAGTTTTTCAGCCCAACTCGAATATCACACCGAGTTCAGACCTCT